AAAAAATCGATTCTGTTCAGTATCACAATATTTTTCACACACAATAAAATCGACACAATAAAAACTAAGTATTGCGTTTTCTCTGAGTTTCTTCTGGATATTTAAATCTGACGTTTATGTTCTGCTTTTTGATCCTTTAGTCTGTTGTATTTGAGTAATTTAAGTTACGTGCTAAGTTACCATTCATTCAGGTATCGCCCCAGGGTTAGAGTTATATCTATGTTGAGAATCACAATAATTGAGAATTGTGGTCCATGCATCAAATTGACACATTTTTCCAATTCCAATTTCTACACAACAGTTTAAACAATCGTATTCATACTTATCATAATTTAAGGCTCTGATTCAAAATGATCTTCAAGAAATCTGCTCTTGGAAATTCTAGATGGCCGCCACAACTTCCATTTCAACAGACTCCCACTCTCCTTATATGGAATACTGTAATTGTAGCCTATTCATTCCCCCAAAGAAACCAATCATCTCTGGGACAACAGGCCAAATCATCAAATAATATAAAAACAAAATTTCTCTCCATCTCAATGACATGAAGTGAAATCCTCCTGGGACCAGACTGTAATTACTTGAACATACTCCATCTACTGTAATTAATTGTACATATTTATATTTATTGATCGACAAATCCACTTCTTTAGGATATTAACTATTGATTTTAATTGCATGTTTTTGGTATATGTTTCTTATTAAATGCATGTACAAAACAAATCAGGAAAGAAACTACATTCAGACATTAATGAACCAATTAAAATAAAGTGGAACAAGTGGAGGAGACCAGCGGAAGACCCCGAACTCATTTGAAAGACTTTCTCACAGCTGGTCTGGGAATGCCTCAAGATTCCCTCAGATGAGCTGGAGGAGGTGTGTGTGGAGAGAGAAGTCTGGGTGTCTCTGCTCAGACTGCTGCCTCCGCGACTCGGTTATGGATGAAGCGGAAGAAAATGCATGGATGGATGAAATACATTGAGAATCTTTGAAAGTTTTGGAAAGATTTACCCACAGATTATAGGGAGAAATACAGAGAATATTTAGTGATAGATACAATACAGTACATTTGAATCAATACCAAGGTGATTTTGCATGTCTCCTTTAAGAGATACTTTAAAGCTGAGGAACCTAACTTTAAAACAACAACAACATTGATCAGCAGGTTGTGGTCTGATTGGTTCACAATATTTTTACTTTTTATAATAACTTTTTGTGTGTGAAAGTTTTTAGTTCCAGCGAAAACTAGAAATGATTAATAATAAATCACATCTGGTCACACACAAATATATACACACATATATATAAGTATACACACACACATTTACTTACATATACACACAAATACATTCATATACATTTACAGACACAAATACATTCATACACATACACATTTACATACATGAACATACAGTACATATACACACACATCCATACATATACATTTACATACATGAACGTACACATACACACACATCCATACATACACATTTACATACATGAACGTACATATACACACACATCCATACATACACATTTACATACATGAACGTACATATACACACACATCCATACATACACATTTACATACATGAACGTACATATACACACACATCCATACACACACACACATCCATACATATACATTTACATACATGAACGTACACATACACACACATCCATACATACACATTTACATACATGAACGTACATATACACACACATCCATACATACACATTTACATACATGAACGTACATATACACACACACATCCATACATACACATTTACATACATGAACGTACATATAATACACACACATCCATACATACACATTTACATACATGAACATACATATACACACACATCCATACATACACACACATCCATACATGTACATTTACATACATGAACGTACATATACACACACATCCATACATACACATTTACATACATGAACGTACATATACACACACATCCATACATACACATTTACATACATGAACGTACATATACACACACATCCATACATACACATTTACATACATGAACGTACATACGTACATATACACACACATCCATACATACACATTTACATACATGAACTTACATATACACACACATCCATACATACACACACATCCATACATTTACATACATGAACGTACATATACACACACATCCATACATACACATTTACATACATGAACGTACATATACACACACATCCATACATACACATTTACATACATGAACGTACATATACACACACATCCATACATACACACACATCCATACATGTACATTTACATACATGAACGTACATATACACACACATCCATACATACACATTTACATACATGAACGTACATATACACACACATCCATACATACACATTTACATACATGAACGTACATATACACACACATCCATACATACACACACATCCATACATGTACATTTACATACATGAACGTACATATACACACACATCCATACATACACATTTACATACATGAACGTACACACACACACATCCATACATACACATTTACATACATGAATGTACATATACACACACATCCATACATACACATTTACATACATGAACGTACATATACACACACATCCATACATACACATTTACATACATGAACGTACATATACACACACATCCATACATACACATTTACATACATGAACTTACATATACACACACATCCATACATACACACACATCCATACATTTACATACATGAACGTACATATATACACACATCCATACATACACATTTACATACATGAACGTACATATACACACACATCCATACATACACATTTACATACATGAACGTACATATACACACACTTCCATAAGAGAAAGCAACAAATATGAGCAGAGATAGATATAAAAGATCATAAAAATCCCACAATACATTCATGTAAAAGGACATAAATCAATAAAAATCAAATAATATTAGAGAATGTTTACTTTTACCGACTCTTTCCGTGCGCACAAACAACATGTGTTATATATGAGGAGAAACCGTAGCCCAGCTTTAATGAGAGCCCTCTCCGGAGCCTGGGTGCGTATGCAGAGTCCATATGTTCCAAATGGAGTGTAATAAATTGAATTAGTTGTGGTGTTGAGGCGTGTAATAACGACGGCGCTCAGGAGAGATACACTTTTGATTAGACCAAAAACGCTGCACGAGCAAATAAACAAACAGGAAATGGATTGTGAGAATTTACACGCTTCTCGACCGAACACACGAGTCAATAAGAGTTTATCACAGCGACAAAACAAGTGGAAATTGGTGTTGAACAAGCGTCTCCGTCTGTCGAGGGCCGTGTCTCGTTCTAGTGAGTTGGTTAATTGATTTCTCTTCGTAATTTACTGAAAAAAAGAATGTGGAAGGACTAGTAGTGGTGCATTGTGGGGAAATCGATTCTGTTGCAATATTTTGTGCACACAGTTTAATCGATAAAGTAGAGCAAAGTATTTAGATATTTAACTAAATTATTGTTTCACTTTTGTGTTTTCTCTGAGTTTACTTAAATCTGAGGTTTCTGTTCCTCTGTGATGTCTGCTAGTCTGTTGTATTTAAATAATGTGAGTGATGTGCTGGGGGCTCAACATTCATTCATGCCTTTGAATATTATGAGGGACATGAATCGCAATATATCGCAAAATCGAATCACAATACTTGCTGTATCGCAATATGTTAAGAATCGCAATAATATGAAACTGTGGCCCAAATATCCCAATGCACTCAAATCGTCACAATTTTGCCAATTCCCACCACCCTCCCAGAAGCTTTACAGCAGAGGTGTCCAGTTCTTTCAGTTAGAAGTCCCTGATATTAGCTAAAATCAACTCCAGGTCTGTTATTGAATGAAGCAGGTCGTAACATTGTTAAAAACTCAACAAATATACAGAAGTTGAAAGGCATGGCGGATATTTAACCCTTTAATGTTCCCCCCGCATTTTCTAATATGTAGAAGCGCTAATATAAAAATATAATTATTTTTTTGAGTGATTGAGATGCCCCATTCAGGTAGATTTCCGTTCCAAGCTTCAAGTAGATATAGTGACTCAAAAAGTGATCCGGCAAATGTTTGAGCAAACCGTAAAAGGATTAAGACGTTTTTTTCGTCACTTCTTGCAGTAGCAACATGGAAGATCCAAAATATAGTCACCAAAGCACTAATTCACCAGTATCTCCTTCTCTTCATAAAAATGTCCTGCTGTATTCTGTGTGGCCTCCTCTCTCTTTAAAGACTTCAGTTGTGCTTCTGTCCTTGTGTGACTTTCAGCTGTTCAGTCGGTCTTGCTCCACCTCTGTACTGAATAATGGACCGGACGAGCTTCCACTCTAACCTTGCACACGCACGGATGGATTAAGAGCTCACAAACTGTGGAGAATCCATCTCCTTTGACGACTCTTGGATTCAGGTCTGAACCAGGAACGAAGCAGAAGAGTTTGGACGGATCGTGGCTTGAGATACAATGATTATACAGAACTTTTATAGAATATTCCTCATATATGTATTATAATTTCTGGACAGTGGTCATCTGCCCCTTGTGGACCAATGGCTATATGTGTTTTTTTTTTTTTATCATTGAATGTCAGTTTTGATTCTCAATCCTGTTTTGGCACATCGACAAATACATTGATTTGAAATTGACATTGCTAGGTTGCTAGGTCTTGCCCATGTAGCCTGTTTGTGTGCGCTCTTATCGGCTTCTTCCTCTCCTTCTACAGTCTGTGGATGAAACCAAAGACCTCCTGGCTGTTTATTCTAATACCTCCCCTCAGTATCCACTCCCCTGCTCTCTCTCTCTCTCTCTATTCCCCACAGCCGTCCCCCTCTCGCTCTTGTCTTCACTGTTCTCGTGTCAGATAGAGTCACATCAGTGCAGAGTTGACATGTGGCTGTCTATAGTTCAGCAGCAGTACTCCCCCTCAGCCTCCCCCGCTCTCCCCTCTCCCTCTCATCATTCAGAGGTGATTAATGTAGTGACAGTTGCAGACAGGTTCACCTTCTCGTGCTGCTGCTGCTGTTGCCTCACGCTGACAGAGCTCATAAGACACTCGGCTGACGACTGCAGGTTAATGCTGGACTGACACAACGGTACAGAGCCTCACGGCAAAGAAGGTCACAGGTTTTATTCCCTTTTCCTGCAAGAGATGGCCACAATTGCATCGATAACTCATCCAAACCAGACTGTTATAGGCAAGACTCTGGCTCATGATTTAGAAATCAGTTTGAATGTAGAATTAGATGCATGATAAGATGTTTAGTTGTAGTCTAAATTCCAAGGACACAAAGCTCAGTTTGGTTTATAAGATCCTGTTCTACCTGGTGTCTTCTTTAAGTCATTACACATATTTTTACATTCAGTACAGTACGTCCTCTCTCTCACACACAACATGAAAGCTCATTGAGAGAACAATTAAAAAACCATATACAAAATAACAACAAAGTACCTAACATCACCACATAACTGTATATAAGCACAGAGTTGCATCGGAAATACAGGGTAAAGTTACTCACCCACACCTAGCTACCTTCTCTCGGTTAGCGATGCGGACATTATGTGACTTTTTATAGTTGTAGAGTTGGGTTGTTGTCAGAGCAGAGTTTATGGACACTAATGTCCATTAACTTAGTAAACTTGGGGGTGACAGTAGCTCAGTTGGTAGAGCAGTGGCCTTTGAGCCTGGAGGTCGTGAGTTCGATTCCCACCATGGGACCTACTCCAACTGCTCCCACTGATGTCTACTGTCGTTGTGTCCTTGGGCAAGACACTTAACCCCACGTTGCCTGAAAGCCCCCGCTGAAAGACCAAGGCTGTTTCAGTTCACCACTGACAGAGCAGCCATCCTCCTGTGGACTCACCCCCTGCAGAGGATCAGTGAGGGACTGGTGCTATGAGCATTGGGTGGCAGCTCTCATTGCCACCCCCCTGACCCAGAAATGGACAATAAAGGGCTCGAAAATGTATTAATTAATGAATGAATGTCCATAAACTGTTAAATCATGTTGTGACGAGTTAAAACATTTGTCTCTCTGCTACAGTACAGAATGAAAACCTGCGTCTCATATTCCAGTGAGGCCTGTATGTGGACAACATTTACTTTATTTTCATATTTAGAAGGCGTGGCTATTTACAGATTCGCCTTATAGTCCAGAAGGTTTGTTAATAAGTATCAAAAAGCTACTTGATATTCTGTTAGTACCTCCCTTCCATAGCTCAAATAGTGAAGCTGTCCAATCTCTGCTTCCTGGTTCTAAAAGATAGCGGCTCCAAACACACAGATGTGCCGACGCTTCGCAGATGTTGTCCGTCGCATCGAGGACACTGTTATTTATCCATTTTCTCCCATCGGGGTTTAGCTCGGACAGCCTCTAACTAACACACTGTCAGCCAGAGCAGGCGCTAACGTATGTCTCTCCAGCATCTGCGAACTCACCCACACCTAGCATAGCTGACACAACGCACAGAGACGCGCCGATGCTAATGACGCTAATAAACAACAGATCACCGACATGGGACCGGGCGCGGGCTAGCAGCTGTCGGATGCGCAGGGTGCGGGCAGAGGAGGTGACTGAGGAGATAGGGGCTGGGCGACCATATGTTCTAGCTGATGTTATACAGGTGCAACTGCATTCGTTATGGGTTTGGATGGGACGTTCGGGACAATGTGCTACTTAGCTTAGCCAAAAGGGAACGGGTTGCTTAGCAGTAATTGCGTTCTTGAAATGTGATGTCATAATTTGCGATGGAGAGACATGTGGTGAAATTAAGTGATGTGGTTGTTCTATACCAGACAATTGTGAAATGATGATGTTATTGCCTTGGCATATTTTGAGGTACTGTGATGGGAGACGTCTGAAGCTAAGCAGGACAGGGCCTGGTTTGGACTGTGATGGGAGACCTTTGGGAACACCAGGTGCCACAGTGGGGCGGTTGCGGTAATGTGTCAAACTGTGGTTGTGTCCTTAGGCAAGACACTTCACCCACATTAGAATGACTCTGGTGTGTGTGTGAATGGTTGGTGGTGGTGCGAGGGGCCGATGGCACAGACTGGTTGCCTCGTTTCTGTCAGTGTGCCCCAGGGCAGCCAGTAGTAGTGGTTTATCACCACCGTGTATGGAGTGAATGACATGTGAAGCGTCTTTGAGTTTCCAAAAAAGAGCTGTATAAAACCAATTAATTATTATTATTATTATTATTATTAAACATTCACATCACAATCCGGCATCTGAGCGTGTTGTGTTGTAATCACTTAACACAGCGGCGGGTGCGTGGTGTCGCCGCCGCTGTAACTGACATGTTCACTAAGTCGTCCTGCTCCGTCCACGCTCAGACTGACACTCTAGCAAATCAAACTGAAGCTGTGGCTGCGTCCGGAGCCCTGAGCCAGCGTAATTACCCCCTCGGAGCCCGAGTTAATGACGAGAGGAAGAGGGCAGCATCTGTGCGTCTCCAGGGGACGTTCTGCTCCGGACCTTAACCACCGGAGACACTTTGGAGCCCAGAGGAGTGATGGAGCGAAGGGGACAGCGGAGAGATGTGAGGGGAGACAAGGTGAAGGCCCTGTCATGAAGACGGAAAGGTTCCTGAAGCTAACATGCTAACAGAGCTAAACAACACCTTTGAAGCTATGTGTAAAGGATGGAAAGTATAGCTGTCCGTGTCCAATTCCTATCTATTTCTAACTTAAAATCAACCTGTTACGTACTACTGTATCCTGTCACATGCTAACACGCTAACAGAGCTAAACAACACCTAGCTACGTACAGAAAGATTTATAGAATAGCTGTCCAATCCATCCCTTTGTTAGGTACTACTGTATGCTGTCACGTGCTAACTGAGCTAAACAACACTTATAGTAGCTATGCGTAACAACTTCGAAAGTCCTCCAAGTAAGTAAGAAAGTAATCATTTTTATATAGTTCCTTTCACAAAGCAGAGTCACAAAGCGCTTCACAATTGTTGTCGGCAGCAATTGTGTAGATAACTATACAAAAATAAATTAAATTGAATTTGGCTCCCGCAATTGTCGCTAACATTAGCATCAGGTTTTTGAAAGCATGGACATCTTACTTCTAACGTCTAACGGCAGGAAAGACCCGCCCATTCCTTCTGATTGACACATAAACTGAGAATTTCAAGTATGAAGGCTGGTTGCAAATATAGCAGAGTAGCCGCTAGCCATCCCAAGCTTCATCTTCATCCTTATGTCCACTTGTTAGTCTGTGTTAGCTTGTTTTGGCTTTCATACAGTCCATGTCCAAGCGGAGACATTTGTTTCAGGTTAAATATAGTGTAATCTCATGAACTTACATGGCCTTGGTACATGTGTCTTTGGTGAGGGGGGTGAAGGGGAGAGAGGGGACACAGGACAGAGGGGGGGATGTGAAGCTGATTCTCGCTGACAGCGGTCTATCAGTGTCCGTCCCTCTTTGCGTGAAACCTCCTTATTTGACCCGGCAATCCCAGCTCTATTTGTAACCAAGGGTACGTGAAAACTGTGCGTTTTTGTAGGAGGAGGTGGGAATGTTGTAATATTGGAATTGTCTTGTTCTGGAAGGCAGCAAAATCATAATACATGTATACTGGGACTCGGAAGAGCACAGTGACTAGCCTCCTGCTGAGACTCTGAGGAGTAGAGGGACTGGCCTCCTGCTGGGACTCTGAGGAGCACAGGTACTGGCCCTCTGCTGGGACTCTGAGGAGCACAGGGACTGGCCTCCTGTTGGGACTCTGAGGAGCAGAGGTACTGGCCCTCTGCTGGGACTCTGAGGAGCACAGGGACTGGTCTCCTGCTGGGACTCTGAGGAGCACAGGGACTGGTCTCCTGCTGGGACTCTGAGGAGCACAGGTACTGGCCCTCTGCTGGGACTCTGAGGAGCATAGGGACTGGTCTCCTGCTGGGACTCTGAGGAGCACAGGGACTGGCCTCCTGCTGGAACTCTGAGGAGCACAGGTACTAGCCCTCTGCTGGAACTCTGAGGAGCACAGGTACTAGCCCTCTGCTGGGACTCTGAGGAGCACAGGGACTGGCCTCCTGCTGGAACTCTGAGGAGCACAGGGACTGGCCTCCTGCTGGGATTCTGAGGAGGAATAGATGTTTTATTTTAATTTTTTCATGTGCTGCTCAAATGACTTGCCACAGGTGTGATGAATAAAGTAGTCTGAATCTGAGCTCAGGGACTGGCTTCCTGCTGGTGCTCAGAGTCAGGACTAGGGATTTATTGATTATTTTTATTATTTTTTTATTGATTTTTGAATACAAATGTTTCGTTAGTGGCGCAAACTGCATGTGAAATCCAGAATCCGGTCTGACCTCTGTTGCTAAGCAGGGCAGGTATTGCCCTGTGATAAGTACTGTGATGGGAGACCAGGTTCCATAGTGTGGCAAATTGTGGTTGTGTCCTTAGGCAAAACACTTTACCCACATCAGAATGTGTCTGGTGTGTGTGTGAATGGTTGGTGGGGATGGGAGGGCAGCTGTGGCTACAGTAGTAGTTTATCTGTGGTTTAGGTGTGAATGAATAATGACATGCGAAGCGACTTTGAGTGTCCAGAAAAGTGCTCCATAAAAACCAATGCATTTTTCATATTTAGTTTCACAGTTTTATAATTTAATGTCTGTTTTTAATGGACATGTATTGACTTTGGCTTATGAAACACTTTCGGATACACTCTATGATTTGTGCTTTTGATAATTTATGAAACATTCAGATATAAACCACTCATTTACAGGAATAGCAGTCAAAATAAATCTTGAGTCTGAGACAATAATTGGACCAGGACACATTTGGAAAGCAGTGACTTAAGACATTAGTTGTAATTGTCATCTATGTAAATGCGTCTTGTTTGTTGGCAGCAATAAACTGACCACGTCCCTCAGATCGGGCCTGACGTTGTCGGACCCTGAGGCGGACATTAAGAATCCCAGGCACACATCCAGCTGCTGTCTTTATAAAGACGTCCTTGGAATAAACCAAACGGCTGCGGCCGAGAAATTATGTTCAGTGAAAGAGCGGGAAAGCGTTTAATCACTAAAGTTTGTGGGTTATAATCCGTAACTTGTGAGTGATTAGGATTCTGCCATTCTTTCTGACGGCGATAACGGCTTTGTGGACATGTGTTTTTGTTTACAGTAAAAACATTGCTGTACAAATATGGAGAGTTTGTTTGGTCATGAAAAACCTGGAAAATCCCTCAGAGATTAGTTTTATATTTTATTTGCTTTAGAACTGAAGAAAATTGAGAAATACGCATTCCTGGTTCAGTCCTGGATCACTCCTGGATCAATCTTGGTTCAGTCCTGGTTCAGTCCTTGTTCGGTCTTGGTTCAGTCCTGGTTCAGTCTTGGTTCAGTCCTTGTTCGGTCTTGGTTCAGTCCTGGTTCAGTCTTGGTTCAGTCCTTGTTCGGTCTTGGTTCAGTCCTGGTTCAGTCCTTGTTCGGTCTTGGTTCAGTCCTGGTTCAGTCCTGGTTCAGTCCTTGTTCGGTCTTGGTTCAGTCCTGGTTCAGTCTTGGTTCAGTCCTTGTTCGGTCTTGGTTCAGTCCTTGTTCGGTCTTGGTTCAGTCCTTGTTCGGTCTCTCTGACACTGGTAATTAAAGGTGAAACTCCTCAGATTTCAGAATATAGAAGATCATTTCAGAAAAGCTATGAGGTAGAAACAAACTACACATGGAAACAGAAAAAAAAACGCACAAAGTTATGACGTAACTCCACTTCCAAAACTAAAAACCCGTCAAATTGACTGCTCGGCGAGTCCTAGTGATAAGGATGATGCATGGACTGCCTGAACAAAGGAGCGAGTGGCCAGACAGCTAATAGATACAGTCTTATTTGTAGAGGAAGAACCGTTTGTGCTGCCAATATGACAGAGAGGAGAGAGGACAGGCATCGATCCAGGGCTAGCATGACAGCTAACGAACTCAGCTATAATCATGACAAACGAGCGGGCGCAGCACTGCCGGAGAGTATCAATAATCGCGGGGAAATGCCAAGGTCGCTTTGTGTCGGTCGTGTTGAAGTTTGGCTGATGTATGGAGCTGGAGAGAGGAGCGAGAGAAGCCAGAGAGAAGTTATTAATGAAGTTTGGGGTCAGTGCAGAGATAGAGATAGAGACGGTTTCCAGAGTATGGATCCAGACTGAATGGATCCGGAACAATGCCAAGAGAAGGAGGAGAAAAGCTTTTTGGAACACAGAGGGGTATGGACGTGAAGTATTGATAAGAGAAAGGGAGAGACCGGAAGCACAGACAATAACATAATTTGATTTGATGTTATGTATTGTTTTTTTCATGTAACCCGGGACTGCAGATGTAAATTAGCCTTGTAGCACTGTCCCTTTCAAATAAAGACTAAACTAAACAAACTAAACTAGGGCAGCTCATCTTAAAAGTGTAAGATTAAGATGAATAGATCCTTTATTCGTCCCACATTGGGGAAATTCTACATTATAATAAAGCAGCAAACAAATACTGTATATTCTAGAGAGATAGAGATAGAGACCGCGAAGACTAAGGTATGAATAGATCCAAATGGAATGCCAACAGAAGGAGGAGAAAAGCTTTGTGTAACTGGAATTTCGCAAAGAGAATGAGACCATTAGACGCTTAGTGAGCTAGAGGAATTTACTTTTACATGTGAGTCAATAGGAGCCAGAGACAGTTGGAGCAAAACTTTGTCCATGAGCATTTCCCTATTGGCCTTCAAGCAGGTTAGCATTCTCCATCTAAATACAGGTATTCAGTATGTTGTTATTAAACAGTGTATGCATATTGTAAAATGTCCTCCCCAGATCGGTCTATTCTCAATTATTTCTGATATGTTTATTGCTTTTTTTTGTATCTTTGCTTTCTCTGGCGTAAAACACTGATTTCCATGTTTTGCCCGAGAGCTGCCTGGAAGCACACGCCTCCCATTTCACCTTTCGACGACACGCGAAGGCGCCGTTTTACTCATTGGACAAATCTGAACAGTTCGTACGCGCTGTTGTTTCTATCACACTGAGGAGGTTATCCGCGGGTAAACTCCACTTCTGCCACTCGGGCTTTAGAGCAGGTCTTGGGCTCGAAAACCGCACCGACGTGACACTGGAGTAAATGATCTCGCACCGGCGTCTGACCTGGTGGGCGCTGGTCTCTGCCCACATGACTCCAGGGGGAGGGAGGTGTCAGTGCGAGCGGCCATTTGCACCGAGGTGAAAGAAACGCAGAGACGATGAGGAGAGAGAGGGGTTTGGAGAAGGCCGACCGCGGGTCACTGGGACGAAAGTTTGAGCTGGAGGGGAGGAGCCCATGTTACGCAATCGTTATTAGATTTAAAACAATTTATTTTCTCCGTATTTAATTCAATTCAATTCCATTTATTCTTGTATAGTCCCAAACCAACAATACATGTTAAACAAATGCCATGCCCCCTTCTCCCAGCACACAACTTAAAGATTATTATTTAAAATGTAAAACTTATAAGAGTATCGTCCAATGCGTCAGGTAGATAGGTAGAGAAGGGTAGAGTAGAGTAGAGAAGTATAGGGAATGATAGGGTAGAGTAGAGAAAAGAAGGGTAGAGTAGGGTATACTATAGTAGTAGAGTCGAGTAGGGTAGAGTAGAGTAGAGAAGTGAAGGTTAGAGTTGAGTTGAGTATGGTTGAGAAGGGTAGAGTAGAGTAGAGGAGAGTAGAGCAGGGCTGGTGGAAACGGGGCTTATGGATTTCTCAGGCTTGACAGACTGATGAGTAATTTAAATCACTCACTAAAGATGTATATTTTTGTATATAAGGGTAAGTGTTTCTGATCAACCCTAGCTTTAATACTATAATAAATACTACACATACTAATACTAATACTACACAACAGCTGTTTTTCACATACATCTCTCTCATTCAAACATCTCCAGCCTCAAACCTCTCTCTCTCTCTCTCCGGGACTCAAACTCTCAGTCATCTCCGTAATGGCCATCCTTCTCCTCCCACACACTTCCTGTCCGTCACCGCGGAGACACAGGGCCCACTTCCTGTTTTTCTGGAACCATCTGTGGAGGTACGGTGCATGACGAGCACTTGGCGCGAGATTAAAGCGCCGTGAAGACGAGGACATTAATAACCCTCAAATTTTGGGAAACAGCCCATTCATGCAACATCACAGGCCCTTCATCTCCGCCTGCGGGTGCGAGAGGAAAAGGTCAGATGTTTCGCTTTTGTTCTTGCGGACTTAAGAGAAATGGGCGAGAGGTTTCCAGGGCCCTTCGATTTATTAACCAGAGCAGTGATGGAGTTAGCGTGAGGCTACTGTTCCGGGGAAGGAGGTGATAAGGAGGGTATAGGAGGTGACAAGGAGGATACAAAGGAGGATACCAGGGAGAGTACAAGGAAAGAAGGAGGAGCGATGGTTTGGGAACAGATTTTCTTCTTCCATTTGTCAAAGTCTTGTGTTTGAGAAGTTTAGAAACGTATTGAGTTGCTTTTGTCATAACCGTATTGATAAATCATTTAAATCTGGGACTTTAACAGTTCATGTTTGAGTTAATTACAGTTAATGAAGTTGACGTGTAGACATTTTTTAAGCCATTTCACAACGCAGAACCCATACCGACGATTATACTGGTGCAACAACTATGCTTCGGACAACCACAAAGAATATGAACAAATAAGCTGAGCGCATTGGTTCGCTGTGTGGATGTGAAACGATGTTATTAAAACAAACAGATTGAAGCGTCGACAAGAGCACGGTTGTGTTTGTATATCACTGCAGCTGATCCAGAAATATCTCAATGCCAAACATAAAGCAAGCTAGCTGTTAGCATGGACGTTAGCCCACCCGGTGACCGAACAAAATGAGTACTGTCAAAAAATGAAAACAAGGCAGCGGCGATTGCATCTGAACCATAGTTTATTTTCGACTCATTTCAGATTAAAGTAAAGGAGATAAGGCTTTTTATATGATTTGTAACAATGTGAGAACAGAGACGTCATCACAGAGATTTAAATGACTCAGGCTTAAGATAAAGATATCGTAGTGACATTGTGGTCAGAACAAATGCGTTCAGTGCTTCAGATAATAATGTTTAGCAATAATACAGCTATGACGGGTACACAGTACAAAAGATGCATGTCAGAGATCGCAGTACATCTCTGCTTAGTATGAAACAGGACAGGACTAAAGGAAAAGATGTCCGGGTAGTAGAGCACCAGCAGGAGGCCAGTCCCTGTGCTCCTCGGAGTCCCAGCAGGAGGCCAGTCCCTGTGCTCCTCAGAGTCCCAGCAGGAGGCCAGTCCCTGTGCTCCTCAGAGTCCCAGCAGGAGGCCAGTCCCTGTGCTCCTCAGAGTCCCAGCAGGAGGCCAGTCCCTGTGCTCCTCGGAGTCCCACCAGGAAGCAAGTCCCTGTGCTCCTCAGAGTCCCACCAGAAAGCCAGTCCCTGTGCTCCTCAGAGTCCCACCGGGAGGCCAGTCCCTGTGCTCCTCAGAGTCCCAGCAAGAGGCTAACATGAGTACACTGAGCTGCTTTAAAGTCTATTCCACAGAAGGCCACAGAAGCCAGTGCAGAGACCTGAGAACTGGACTAATGTGATCCTACTTCCTGGTTCTCGCGAGGACCTGAGCTTCAGCGTTTTGAATACACTTCAGCTGTATATTCATTCCAATATTCTCAGACAATAAAACATCTGAAATTAGGTAAACGCAAGATGGAGAAGATGGATGCCAGGCAGAAGAGACATTCCAGGCAAATGCAAAACAGCTTCTCATTCAAATAAACTCTGGACCACAAACGTGTCATTGGCCAAAAACTGTTGTGAAAACCTAATATTTCCAAAGATAGAGTATGAAAGTGACAGTGGCCTAATCTGGTTGAGTACCATGTGCAGATGACCTCATGGGACTATAACAGTGAGTCATATGAAGGCTGGATCTTCCTCAGTGTAATAGCCCTAATGCAGTCTCCCCCTCCCCCCTCCCCCCAGTTGGGCCTCACCTGCTAGGTCATGAGGGTGGGAGGCTGGTGATGGATGACTGGTGGGATGAGATACGTTTTTTTTCTCTCTATATTTTTTCTGAGAATGGGGGGAATGCATGTATCAGTTTATTTGTGTAGCACAGTTCATACACAAGGCAACACAAAATGCTCATAGACATGTAGCTCCGCCCCTTCTGCCAAAAAGCTCCTCTCTCAATTCTGTGATTGTATGATGTCATTTTACCACTATGACCAGAGAGAGAGAGAGACTAGAGAGGGAGAGACTGGAGAGAGGGAGAGACCAGAGAGAGAGATACAGTAGATTAGAGAGGAAAGGACCAGAGAGAGACTAGAGAGGGAGAGACCAGAGAGAGAGGGACTAGAGAGGGAAGGACCAGACAGAGAGACAAGAGAGTGAAGAACCAGAGAGAGACTAGAGAGAGAGACAGACTAGAGAGGGAGAGACCAGAGAGAGAGAGATTAGAGAGGAAAGGACCAGAGAGAGACTAGAGAGGGAGAGACCAGAGAGAGAGGGACTAGAGAGGGAGAGACCAGAGACAGACTAGAGAGGGAGAGACCAGAGAGAGACAGACTAGAGAGGGAGAGACCAGAGAGAGAAACTAGAGAGGGAGAGACCAGAGAGAGAGACTAGAGAGGGAGAGACCAGAGAGAGACTAGAGAGTAATGCAGCTCTTAGTGTAGAAAACAAAACATTAAATAATAATGTAATTTGGCACACACACACTTTAAAGCTCGGGTACCTGACTTTAGCTCGCTTTCACTTAGAACGATTTGAAAAACAGTCGTGGCCTTTATCAAAACGGTTCCTTTTAAACTCTTGTGTTTTTCCGCCTGCAGCCTGTGACCTTGCCGATCCGCGTCCCATCCATCTCTTTCTTGTTTGGCGTTGCCGTGGATACATGCGGCACAGATTACGACCATTCATCACCCCCCCTCACCCCCGTCCCTCCCCCATCCGTCACCCTCCCAACGAATGTTTTGACACGGACTTAATTTTCTGCTCATGATTTATCAAATTATAATTACCAGCGTTTGAAGGGTCCCATTCGTTATGTTGATGCGCGATAATGGCGGCAAAGTGGAGTGAATTTTAACTAACTTCTCAATGATTTTAACTTGGGCTGACACATGTGGTACGCGGGGGCAGTTTGAGACGCAAAACTCCATGGTTTTTCTTCCAAATAAATCTAGTCTGTGCCGTCTTTCTTTTTAATTCAGGTCAGTGTTGTGGATTCGCCAACAACAAATCAGAGAATCAAACAGACAGGAAATGCAATAACAAAAATCTAGTCTTGTCTCAGTATACATAGAGACCTCTCCTGTCTCAGTATACATACATACCTCTCCTGTCTCAGTATACATACAGACCTCTCCTGTCTCAGTATACATACAGACCTCTCCTGTCTCAGTATACATACAGACCTCTCCTGTCTCAGTATACATACACACCTCTCCTGTCTCAGTATAACATACACACCTCTCCTGTCTCAGTATACATACACACCTCTCCTGTCTCAGTATACATACATACCTCTCCTGTGTCAGTATACATACACACCTCTCCTGTCTCAGTATACATACATACCTCTCCTGTGTCAGTGTATACATACACACCTCTCCTGTGTTCAGTACAGTACTGAGACAAGAGGGTTGGTTTTATAATAAATATCAACTTCATTTGCCTTTTACAAATGTCAAGATAGATTTGTCTTCGTTTCAAACCTTGCATTTCTCTTCTGTTGATGAATCCAAACAATTGAGCGTAAAATCAACATTAATTAAAAGACCGTGACCTTGGAGTGCGAGAGGTCAACGCTTTGCACTTTACTTTCAAACGGCGACAGATTGAAGACGATAAGCTTACAAAGTTACCCAGCATGCATTTCTTCAGGGGTCAGCGATCAGAGGGTTTCAAAGACCGGTGTAAGAATGAGACAGAGGGCAAAACAAAAACAGCTCCATTAGACATTCTCAAGTGATCAAAAGGAGAAACCAGGAAGTGCAAATGCATTCTGGGAAGTGAAGCGGTGAAAGAGACCACTGATACAATGGACAAATCAGACGTTAGATTGTGAAATAATAGAAATATACTATTGTTATATATCATTTTATGTGGGTGGTCTGTATATATACTGAGACAGGAGAGGTCTGCATGTATACTGAGACAGGAGAGGTATGTATGTATACTGACACAGGAGTGGTCTGTATGTATACTGA